CAGCAAAAGGACATTTAGGTCTTTTAAAGCAATCTGACTACGACTACTCATTTTCTTTATCAGGAATATTACTGCACACCCTTAATAGGGAACCTTGTTTTGCTACTCCCCGTCTGTTCAAAACAGACCTTAGCCCATTAGAAGGTCCTCCCTTGTGTGGGAAGACCACAGCTGTTACTGTAAATCTCATCCAGTAACTGTATCACCCCCATTTTGTGGCTCTGAAGGATGAAATTGAGAAATGGAATACTGTGCAGTCATCCTTTACATCTCCAATTTTAGGCCTTTGCACATCATTTTCATGCTTTTATTCCAAATCAAACAACATTAGTGAGCAACACCACTCCGTGCTAAATGCCTAGCATCTAAGGCAGCACCTACAATCTTTGTTTTGGAGGATTTAAGATTTGGAGGCAAGTTGGGGTTTTGTTGATGGTGGATGTTTTAATTTTTTTTTTTTTTTAATTCCCTCTTTTCCCTCCTTCCTCCCCCACCAAATCTTTCCAAGTATACAGAATTTGTCAGAAGCAGAAATCCAGATGGTAGTGAGGTGCCTATGATGGTGAATGGTCTGTTATGCCTCCACAGAGAAAGTGGGAGCTCAGCACGGCTTACAAGCACAACTTTAAAAAGGCTTCTGTTTCTTTAAATCCTTCTGAATAAAGTGGATCTAACTTCTTGTGAAGGATATTGGGGGCTTTAATCAGAAATAAGAAGTGGTTTAAATCATTAGCACAACAAAGCAAACTATAAGCTTGAAGATAAAAGTCTCAGGGGAAAGAGTCCTCTGAAAATAAATGGGACTTGATAGATTTCCATATCATTTATAACTTCCCTTAATTACACTTGGAAGACTTGCCAGTAAAACTGGAAAATTGGCAGCCTATATCCATTATAGTAATTTTGCCGACCATGGCAAGCAGCTGGCTTTACTGGATTTTATTTCCCATCACTCACAATTAATCATCAGCTGGAGATGTCTGAAACTCCTCAAAACGTAGCAATACTGTGTGACATTCAGGCCTCCTTAAAATGCCGAAATCTGCTGAGTAAATGGGCCGAGTTCCCCTTCCAGCGAACTCATTTTGGTGCGAGGCAGGCTGCCGGTTAATGAGTGCCACTTCGATAATCGGATGCGAATGTGAACCCTGACCTCATGTCAAAGGAGAGGACGCAGCAAGCTGGATAAAAGATCGGTGATTCAGATCTGCAAACTTTACACCAATTAGACAGAGAGCGGGGAAATACATCAGCGCCCATTGGGTTTATCAGAAAGACTTGTGGGGCTTGTGACCATTTTGTAAGCCTAACATGGGAGACGTCCTGTCACAATCATTAAGTCTTTATCCGATGACGCACAAAAGTCTGCAGAAAGTGTACCATATTCACAAAGATCCCGTGGTAGCAATGCCCTCGGGTGTGCGCTGTCTTTTTGTGTTTCTAGAACTTTAAAGAGCCCTATCTGTAAGTGCAGATAGTCTTTATGGTCCTCATGTAGGTGCAATGAGAATGGGTTGGGGTTGCTGCTTCTCAGATTCTGCTTCCACCCTGTGGTGTGAGTTGCTTGGTTGGGAAATGACCGGAGACAGTTCCCTGTCCTGTGTGTAACCTTTCAGTCAGAGGAGAGAACAAGCACCGTGCAGTCCCTGAGTTATTCAAGCAGTACTATTGACTGTTCCCAAATTCACATCACAAATGTTAGCAGCATCGAGGTGTTAAATACCCTCCTCTTTAATGATATTTTTTCTTCTTCTTCTCTTTTTTTTTTCCCTTTTTTTTTCCTTTTTTTTTTTTTTTTCCCCTTCTCACTCTGTGGTGAACAAACTGAACAGCTACTTTGAACTGTGCAACACAGAAATAAACTGCTAAAATACAGACTGCAGGTCTAACAGTTAATCACCCATTTATTTTGATATACTAAGCAGTGTAGATTTGTCTGTAGCATAACTCTGTGAAAAAGATATCTGAGATTAATTTCTTTTAAGAGAAGGAACCCTTTTATTTTAGTTGGTTCCAATCAGATTTTTTGTTTGATTATAGTTGCTTGTTTTGACAGATTTGGGTCATCACCGAGACCTCTCTAAATTGAAATGTAAAGATGGTGGTTTACATTGGTTTACAATCCACTGAAAGAAATAAATTATACAGTGAAAAAGCAGCTTTAAAAATGGTCCAGATAAATCCTTAAATAAGTTAGACAGTAAGAACTTGTACACATCACTGCAGTTTTCATTTGCAGGCTAAATAACAGGTAAAAGGATATGTGCAATTATGGAATGAAAGAAAGTGTACAATGCTTAAAAGGCTGAAAAAGAGAAAAGAGAGATACAAGTGCCTAATTTTAGGATTTGTTGCTTTGCAACACAATGAGCAGAGCTGTAGAGGTTTAACATAAGAACAGTAATTAAACTTCTGTGCTTAAGTGAGACTTTCGCCAAGGTAATTTTCAACAAATTGCACATCATCAGAAGTACTGACACAGCATTTTCACACGTGGTACCTGCTGAGTGCCTCCTCCCTTCCAAATTAGTGAGACTCCAGATATTAACTGGATACATTGAGTATATATTTTGTGGGTTGAGGGGGGAGGTTATTTCCTTCCCAGACACTGATTCCCTTGTCATCAGCCCAGCAGGTATTATACAAAACACAAAACTTTATTTTTGAGAAAGGGGAGAAAATGAGAAGAAATTTAGATTAAGGGGTATTTCCATTCCACAATTGCTAATACTTCCTGGCATTTTAGCACTATACTTAAGATCTACAGAGACAATTCTGTATTTTTTCAGTAGATGTGTTTCCAGAACTCTGTTTAGATAATTGCTAACTGGTTTATTTGCACACCATCCACCTGATAAAGCCGTGTTACAGTTAAATCACAACAGGGCTCAAGGAAAGAGTTTCTTGTGCCCTTGAAATTAGGCCACTGAGTTCAGATCTGTCCTCCTTGGCATCTCAATCTTTAGCAACCTTTAGAGGCCCATGTTCTTGGCACTCTGATAGTTGAGTTTAGCCAGAGGATGGCAAAGTTGTTTCTGAAATCCATTTTTTAATAATAGCATTATTTAAAAAAGGCCCTCCAACAAACATTCTTGCTTTTTTTGTTGTTGTTGTTCTTTAAAAGTCAGTAGTAGGTAATTCATGGCTTCCTCTTAACCTCAGAAAGTTCAGAACAGACGGAAGAAAAGCCAAGCAGTGAGATAAGGAGGGAAGTGGCAATAAAGGAAAGAGTGAGCTGGTGGGACAAGGCTGTGGGCAAAGCCACAGGTGTGGAAGGAAGGAGACAAAAGACAGGGAAACAGAATAGATGGGAAATAACTGGGGACAAAGAGCAAGTCTTTGATACTATTCACCAAATTTGACACTGCTTAATGACTTAAATGCTCACCTGAAGCTCAGGATGGAATTTCTGCAGGTGAAGTGTTGGGTGTTGGTTATTCTCTGTATCTGGTTAATATACCATGTTCCCATAACAAATACTTTCCATATTTACCTTCTAAAACCTGTCATAGTGTAGTTGGAAGTGTACTGGAGAAAGGGTATGTAAGCACCTTTTAATGTCATGTGTTTTCTTTTGTCTTGCTCAGAGCCTCTAGGCAGACATCAGTGCTTTTCACTCATTGTTAGTGAAAAAAAGCTTTATTTAAATTTTTGTAATGTTCTTTATGCAATGTGCATTTGATCTCTGACTTCACATCTGTCTGTTAATATATTCCTCCAAAGTGGTACACACTTGTCCTGAGAGATGTATTATTCATTTTACATATAATTCGAGAAATGTATCTATGTGTATATTTGTATGTGTATAAACAAGCACATTTTGTTGGCACTGGAACACATAACAGCGCATAAACCAGACCTCTGCAGGTTTCAGATTACCATCTTTACTGAAACTTGAACATCAGAGTGAAAGTATCCCAAACTTGCTGGGATAATAAGGGAATAGCAGACTACATCTACAAAAGAGCCCAATGAAAAGACTCGTAGTGGGCACTTGGAACAAGGCATCCCAGAGGGGTGTACCTGCACAAGTCCTAAATCCTGGCATGTAGGGCCCGGCACCCTTCCCTCTCTGGCATACATCATCTTCATGGGATGATTAGCTGATTGCTGGGTGACAGGACGGGTGAATTCTGAATCCCCTGGTTTTCCCCTCATGTATAGGCAGCCCCTTCAACCACTGTAAAGCCCTTTACATTGGGCTGTTTCCTCTGAGCAGTGTGTTCCAAGACGTTGGAGGGAGGATCTGACTGGGAGGCACAGGAAGCCCAGCAGAGCAGCCCAGTCGGTTACTGGTGACCTCGAGCTTGCACATGCCTGTTAGCAGGGTGCAAACAAGCAGAAGAGGAAACTCCAGTGTTCCCTTTTAAGAGCTCTCAGCTGTGGTGAAAATGATGGTTTTGCCTCTGTGACGCCTCCCCTGTGGATGAGAGCTGGTGGTTCCTCACCTCCCTTCTGTCAGTCCAGAGTCATCAGCTGCCATCCAGATGCTGCCATGTGCAGAGGTGTGACATTCTCCTCAGCATTAGCCCGTTGGGTATTGCTAGAACTTCCAGCCCAAGCTCCCCAGGACGTGTGCCAAGAAACTTTTGGCTTCTGAATCAGTATTAGTATCTGTGGGCCCTGTGCCAGGGAAGCAAAGCAAAAGTTCCCCAGCCAAAAATGCACAAATTAAATTTTGCTCTGGATTTAATTGATGTTGAACTGTGGTGGGTGTGAAGTGTGAACTGTAGAAGTTGGAGCTGAATGGATGGGGTGAGAGGGGAGCCTTACAGGTTTACCTGAGGTGATAGTTTTGAGTAGGTGATTCCTTTTTCCCTATTTTGCTGCCAGTTTTGTGATTGTTATTTGTGTTGTGACTGTAACTGGCTGACTTGACTTGTGCCATGAAAGTCTTTATAGCATTTAATGACATAATCCTTTTATTTTCCAGAAGAATCATTGCACTTAGAAAATTTCAAATCCTCTGTTCCCATTTTGTACTGCTTGAATTTTACCAGGTTTCGGAAGGTCAAGAGATTTGTGTAATTGAAGCAATGAAAATGCAGAACAGTATGATTGCTGCTAAAACAGGCAAGGTAAGCTACCTTGGGTCACTTAAAACCATATGCAACTTGTCAAACGGGATAGAATTTAAAAAGGAAAAAAAGAAGATTCTGATTGTTAAGGAATTAAGTCTGATTGTTGTAAGTCTTTCAAAGTGAGGTGTCTTTAATTTTGTAACATTTGCATCTGCTGTGAATACTGTTAAGTAGTTCCGAGCCTTAGATAGCACAGCAGGAAATAGTTTTACTGGCCTCAGAAATTCATATAACTCTCTTTCTCCTAAATGATTTGTTTTGTCTGGTGTTACAATGCCAAATTGAATTGAAAGGTGTTGCAGACCATTTCTCCAAATTTCATCTTTCCAGAGAGCAACTGAAGAAGAGACATCTCTTTGCCAGTTAATTATTTAATGGCAAACAATTTGACATTAAAAGACCCCACTCAGAACAAGGCATAGAAAGTGCTTTTGCAGGAGGAAGAGAGAAGCAATTTTTTATTATGGTGACTGTTAAATATCAAGTATAGATCTGCACATTTGTTAAGCTTTGCAAGGCTGTGCATTGTGATTTCTTCTGAAGGATCAGCACTGCAGCCCTTGAGCTGGCTGGGACTCTCCTGCAGTGTAGGACGAGCGCTCAGGGCAGGGAACTGGTCAAGCCTATATGGTGAGGGCATGCCTTAAACCCCAGCTGGTTTGGGGACTGTCAGCCCCCAACTTGGGCCTCAGAGCATCCTCTGTCAGGTTGTAATTCACAGCCTGAAACCATCACCTGGACGTGGGCCCTGGATACATCCTTTCCAATGGGAGAGCATAGTCTGGATTGGGGTTATATTCTCTTCTGTTGCCTATTTCCTTACCTGCCCCAGCCCATGTCTGCCTGGGGTCGAGCCGCTCTGCTCTCCCTGCTGCACAAAGCCCAGTGCAAGACCCCTCATCCCAGAGGGAGGCAGCAGGGAGCCGACTCTCCAGGCGGGACAGGGTTAGCCACTGGCAAGGTCCACCGAGATTTTAGGACGGGCCTCTATGCCAAGGACTGTTTGTGTGTTTACAAGAAAGGCTTATTTGGCACAGCTCTAAAATTGTTACTGAGGCTGGGTCCCAGGGCTTGCCTCTTTCAGTGTATCCAGTGCAAAACTGGGTCTCAAGAGAAAAAATTAGTGAGAGAGGGAGTATGTCCCTTTTCCTGTTGCTCTGATATTGCTACTTCATTATTTCATTTCATGCATTGATTTCTATAAAATTTATTCTCTCACTTGATTAATATTTCCAATCATTTAGTTTTTCATCTTTGCTTCTTTTAACCCCTTATTGCTGTTTTTTGCATCCACTCTTTTTAACTAGTGAGTATTTGTAATTAAAATGCCATTCTCTCTCCCACTCACCCCATTTATTTTTCTTTAACCCTCCCTTTCCCGCCAAGGTGTTCTGCAGTCCATGGGCTTATTCCTTAAAATCCTGCTTGTACTTCTCCCAGTAATAAATATTTCCCACTCACTGTGTACAGATACCACGTAAAAGCTGTGTTTGGTTTATTAATCCTCCAAGGTGGGATGTGAAGGGTGCACAGGCTATGCAGTGCGCTTGATGTGTGCCTTGCAATGTCCCCTCGGTGCCCCAAATTTAGTAATAATTAGGAAATTATTTCATTCTTTAGAATTTTAAGAATTTGAAAAAGAAAAGTTTTGGGCTGTGTAGAAATGAAGCTGCTAAACAGAATTAATCCTGTTCTGCAGTGCAAAGTCATGGCTCTAAGTGCTAAAATAACTTGGCCCCTCCACAGGAATGGGATGTTTGGTACTGGCTGTTAGTCCATGTTTTGATGCTTTGAAACCGTGTTTTGAAACTCAGTTCGTTTGTCTTCAGCTGAAAGACGTTCCCATTTTCATTCCTGACTGAATTCCTTTTCTGTATCAAACCCCATCTTCCTGTTTGTAATTGTGAGAAAAGTGCCTTGTTTTTGTCTACTTTGAGTTTACTCCAGCTGCAGGTGGTTTAAAAATGAGGGAAAGATGGAGAGGAACTGGCGTGCCTCCTGTCTTCTATGGGACAGCTGTGCCTGGGTCAGAACAAGGAGCTGGCCCTGCTGCATGTCAGAAATCACTGGGGAGTCTGAAACACTAGTTAGCTCCAATGTTTGCTGAACACTGCCTTTGTAGAAAAAGAAAAGCAAGAGATAGGATGTTTTTCACGCTGCTTTCATCTCTTAAAAGATTGAGGCTCAGGAACCAGGTAGGCTGCCTAGCTACTGATTTTAGAAATAAAGCCCTTGTTTGTACATATCACGCTGTTTTTCCCTGTGTAGTGTTCAGCATCGTTTCTTGAGCAGTGCTGTGACTGTGCCTGTGCTACAGAGCCAGAGATCTGCTTAGAGCTCACAGGGCTTTAGACTGTCAAACATGGGTGTGGGCAGTAGTGTGGCCATCGTAGCCTGGTGCTTCGGGTATGCTGTGGATTTCCTTTAGGAGCCCAAGGTAGCATTTGGATTATTAAAACGAGCCAACTGCTGAACAAGGATTTGGGCATGTCAGCCTGAGCTCTGAATTCATATTGCAAGCAAACTCCAGTATAAAGCTTCAAATATTTTCTGGACCTCCATGTGCTGAAAGGGTATTCAAGTATGTTGCAGCCTTTTATAGAGGAAATAAGGGACTAGTAAGAGATTTTGTGTTTTAAAATTCAGGAATCTGCACATGAGTTTACAATTCATCTACAGAATGTAGCTGCATTTATTTGACAGTGGTAGCCCTTTGCCAAGTTCAGTTATGTTAAAGGATCACCATTCAGATTTGAATCATCTATCCCAGCTGTCTGGGGATTGAGAGAAACCCATTTCATGGCTGCAGTCCCAAAATTCAGCTATACCCATAAACTGTAATGCAAGAAATAGTGGAATATTTCATTGACATGTCCCAGTGTAAGTGTTGGGAGTGTGAGTCTGTCCTCTGAAAGATTTAAAACTTTAGTAGTAAATGAACAGCAGTGAAACCAGGTGGAAGAAAGGCGTTTTTGAATTTCTCAAGTGTTATCTCTATCTGATGGTTAGGTCTTCAAGTACCTCTGTCTTAAGAAAACCAGCTAGTGGTAGTTGCCTGAGGGAGTTGTTGGACGTGATTTGGTCAAGCACTGGAGAGGTGCTGGAGTCTCCATTCTCAGAGGAACTCAAAACTCATCTGAACTCTGAGCACCGGAGGTTGAGCAGCCACCCTCTTAAGGCCCTTCCAGCAGATGTGCATCTGTGATCCCTGGGGATGGTCATCACGTTGCACAGAGGCCATTTACCCCACGCATGCAGATGTGATACTCCAACCAAAACATTCATTTCACCGTGCTACTGAGCAAGGTTTTAAATTACGGCTGTTTCTGTACCCTAGGTGAAAGCTGTGCACTGCAAAGCTGGTGATACCGTTGGAGAAGGAGATCTGCTGGTGGAACTGGAATGAAAGGTTGCCTCCACACTGTTGAATTAACTAAGCCTTTATTATTTTCGTCCATAAGGTAACATTAAGGCATTTCAACACAGAAAATGGACAGTTCTATGTGCGAGATTTTATACAGGCATATTTACTGTATCAACGGTTAAGACAGCAAACACAGATGTTAAATCTTGGCAGTGGATCCCAGATTTTTACTTTCAGAAATACTTGTACATAACCTTTGTAATGCTTTGATTTTTCAGGATCAAATAAAATCAATAAAATACCATTCTGCTTTAAAACAGGAAAAGCCTCTTTTTAAAAAAAAAAAAGAAAACACAACAAAAGCCCCAAACTGATTTGTCTTCTCCACAGTAATCTCCCTGGTTTGAGGCCCCAGCCAGGCTGCACAGAATTATTGGCAAGAGTGAAAAACCACTGAGTAAACTGAGCAGTTCTCCAACACTCTGTGTAAGTGCTGCACAAGAATTACCAATGGCTTAAATTCTGATCAGATTTATTGTAATATTTTGAGTGCTTTGTATAGACTAGATTTAAATTACATGTTAGAGGCTTTATTTTGCTAGTGCAGGCTTTTGTCGTGTGTTTTCATTTAAAGTTTAAGGGAATTGTCTTTTGTTCAAATTCCATGCTCAATTTTGCCCTTCTCTTTAATCTTCTTTATATTGATTACTGCATGCAAGTCTTAACAGAAGGAGGTGGCACTGTCCTCAGATCCCTTTAGCTGCCCCAAGGTATTGCTAGAGGCACGTGCTGTCCCTCAGACCAGGCCTCCTCCTGAATTCTTACAGGAAAGGCAGACCAAGTCTCCGATCTTTAGTAAAATCAGAGGCTTTTACTACAGACTGTGTGAAGAACTAGGACTGTTCATAATACAAGACTATATCAATCATGCTGGAAGAGCTGTGTATCCAGTATGGAAAACCAGAGAGGGCCTGGAGAGGAGGAATATTTAAGAGACTTGAACAGAAGTAAAAGGGCTGGTGACTTGGGCAAGGTGTGTTTTCTCCTCCTTGCTCAGGAACTCCATGCCCCACAGGATGATGTAGATTCTGGAAGTGTACTGGGTCCGAAATGTTAGTGTGTGATCAACAGAGGCTTCTTCTTCCATGCTGAGCCCTAGCTCAGTAAGTCAGCAGCCGCAGCCCACTGGATGCAGTGGTACCTCCACAGTCCCTGCGTTCTGCAGCATCATCCGGTCCCTGTGCTCCTGCCTAGGCCTCTGCTGCTGCCCGCTCCTGGGCCAGGACACTGGCTACTCCTGCCTTTGGGCTCACCTCCCACGGCTGCTCTTTCTACATACCTCTAAGTCACCCTTCCTGCTGTGCCTTGACCACCGCCACAGAGAGGAGCTGCCCTGCTCTCATGTTCTTGCCTAAGAAGTACAGAGTAATGCCACTTCCTAGAAAGCAACCCACTGGCCAGACACACCTGGGCCCTTTACCAAAAGGTGGAGGATGAAAACGAATCTGTGGCAGGGCTGGTGACTCATGTTCATCCAGAAAAGTTCATGACTCTGCTTGAAACTTCTGACTGAAGAGGAATTTTTCACATTATTGAGACACCCCTAACTAACTACATCAGACAGCCAAGGGACAGGGATCTGCTTAGTGAATTAGTTTACAAAACACATCAGTATGAGGAAGGAGAACGTTTGGGTAGTACCTGCCTTCCAGGAAAATTAATGCTGTTGCAGCAGGAGAAACTGAGGCAAACACCCTGCAGATCTCCCTACAAATCTCCTTACTGCCACCCTGGCCCTTCCTAAAGGAACACAGTTCAGTTTCTGCAGGTTGCCCTAAACAAACAAGTAGCGTAAAGAGGCACAAGTATTCTACTTTCAAATTTCTTAATTTGCTCACTCCAGCAACATAAAAGCTTTCTGTCTGTTTTTCTAGATGAGCTGCAGCAGTGCCTAACTAGTGCTGAAGTTTAGGCTGATTCCTTACCCTGGATCCCTGGTCTGATTCTCTACCGTGGATCTCCTCCGGCCATCACAGGACTACTGGCAGTGAAGCAAAAGTACAGTGTTGTTCCTAATGGTATCCTTAGTGCATTTAGTTGTACTTTGGCTCACTGCGTGGCACACATTCCCTGCTCCCATCCCTTTAGCAGCTTTGTATACTGTACAATCTATTTGTACCAAACTCTGCAGCTGAAGGAAAATATAAGGCACAGGACTGTAACAACAGAAAGCCACGATTTTCCCAGATTCTACAGAAACCAGCACAGTTGGTTGGGTCAAGGGGACAATAGTCTTCTTTACATAATTTTTTTCCCAATTTAAATGTTGCAATAATCACAATACAGGTACTTTGGCTGCAAGTTCTGCATTAAAGTGCTTGGCAAAAAGTCACCTTGATAGTAAGTGCTCACAATAGCTCCAGTGTAGGTTTGCTTTTCCTGGTCCCCAACAACATCACTCATTCCCCCATGCCCCCCAAAATCCTACAGTCACTCAGTGAACTGAAGTGGAACCTAAAGTGCTTAGAATGTTACATTAAAAATACAATTTAAAATATAATTTCATATAATATCTTAGTATTTTTTCATGGTACCTTGTAAAACTAAACATTATTTAAAAATACACCTTTCCAGTTCAAAAAAACCCACAATGCAATGCAGAGTAAGAATAATCTTTACATTTTCTCTATTTCTTCAGCAAGTTCCTATTTATTTAGAAGCACAGAGTATCTCCAGTAACCTACTAAATACCATTACAAGTCAACATTCAGCACGAGTTTTGCTTTACTTTGCAGACATGACTTTTAAATCAGTTTCAGCTATTAGTGCAATAGTATTATCATTATTCCACCTTGGAGAACTACACGTGAAAATCTGTCAATTCAGGAAAAAAACCCATAAAATTAAATCTGTTCCTCTGCCTTTCACTGACCTCCATTATGCACCACGGCAAAGGGGGAAACTGAGGAAATAATTAGACCCCAGACCTGGTGTGCACATGCACAGTTTTTAGCCCTCACGCAAACCCAGTTCTTTGCAGCAAGGTTGGCAGGGGCGAGGAGGACACTGACTACCTGGGGAGGGAGTCTCCAACTCTGGGCCAACAGGACTTCAACTCTAGCACCAAGGCTCCTGGGCTGGGAAGGTTACAAGAGATCCTGCATTATTTTAATAAAAAGGTATTACAGCTTTCCTGGAAAGGTTACTGATCGACGCCTGCTTAGTACTATGTCTTCGGCCGGGCTGCGTTACCTCCCATTTCTATTCCCGGCTTTCGCGTAGGACGTAGGACAGGCCGTGCTTCCCCGAGGAGTCGTAACTGTCATAGTAGGGGAGCCCCACCCACTCGGGCGGGTACGTTGCTGTGCTGTACACGAAGCACTCCAGGACGCCCTCGGCACCGCCCTTCCCTTCCCACTCCACCACCTCGATTCTCATCAGGGTACGCTGGTACATGTCTGGGCAGCCCTCGAACTCATCCAGGAACTGCAGCATCTGCTCGTCAACCGAGTAGATCTCCCCGGCAACGTGGTGGCCCGTCCCCGGGATGTTCAGCATGTAAGGAATATTGTATTTTCCTGCAATCACCAGCGGGTACTTCTCCACCGTGCGGCCCCTTCCTTGGAATTTTGCTAGCCCCTTGGCTGTGTTGATCATGTGCTTGTAGTTGGGCTGGCCCTTCTTAAGCGTGCCGTAGACAAAGACACGGGCCATCGTACCTGCAAAAGCAGCTGAAAGACAAAGGCACGTTACCATGTGGCTGCCCTGGAGAACCACACCCACACCACGGCACCTCGGACATGCAAGGCTCTTTGGGCACGCACAAAGGTGTAGGTCTTGCAGTCCTGCACCACATTTAGGTATCATACTAAATTCAAGGATATTGAAAATTTTAAGACAGAAAATGAATGCATCAGTGAAAAACACACCACGACAAAGTCTGCAAGAAGTGCAAAAAAACTTGCAAAAAGACCTTTTGCAGTTCTTAGCTGTAACCAAACTACATCCCATGGTTTCTCTAAGGAATCCCCAACGTCAGCCAACGCATTCCTGCGCCTCAGGAAAAGCTCTCAACCCCTTTTAATTTTTCTCTTTCCCACCACTGTGTGAGCTGTGCCGCAGCAAGTGTGTGGTGCCATGCTCAGTGACACCCCAAAAGCAAACGTAACCTGGTGCATCTCATGGACATGCTGATGGATTTGCAATAACCCCAGCTCTGAGGCCTCGCATGCTGAGTGACCAACCAGTGCAGAACAGCAAGCGGTGGGCACCAGCGAGGGAAGTGGGGTAGCCTGTGACAAACGCATCCCGAGCGAGCAGGAGCTGTCTGAAAGGTGCCATTGAAGTTTGTCCTGCTCCTTCAGGGGAATGATGATGGCTGTAAATATGAGGTGATCTGCAGAACTGGTCATGTCTTCCCAAACCCCTTCACCCCTCCTGTCTGAGGGAGCTGTGCACGTTACTTCCATTTTTTTACCTTGGGGGCGGGTGGGAGGAGAAATGTGATGTTTCAGCCCTAGTGAAACTGGAAGCTACAGCTGCTGGCAGGAAGACCAGGTAAGGTCGTGCTCCTCTTGTCCCCAGACAGCCACCCCAAAGTACCTGGTCTGCACACATGCTACACCTCTCTTGAAAACAGACCCTGCACTACCATTTGTTTAAATTGGTTTAAATGGGATAAAAGACTGACTTTACTGAATGGCAGGGGTGGGGGAGAAAGGTACCTCCATCGTTCCTGCTTTACTTTTCACGCTGTGCCCTGTTTATCTCCCATTGTTTCTGTAAGGCAGAAGCAGTTCTTGCACTGTGATGTTTTCCCACATTTTACCCTTGGTCACTGACCGGGCAGAGCCTGCCTCATCCACAGTTGTCTGGCTGGGCCAGACATCCAGCGCCTGAGGAGCACGTGCAGCTCCTCTTGGGAAGAGGGCATTAAACAATGTATTTCAAGTTTGAAAAATCTTTAAAAACAGCCTGGAAGCAGAAATGCAATCTGTTCTCTGCTATTTATTCTTATTTTAGTAAACTGTTAGGTCAGTTATCCAAAAGGGTGCATTGCTGGCCAAGAGCAGTGTTGTTTAAAATCCTCAGTAACAAAGCAGTTTCCCCTTTGGTGAAGTAAACAGTTTTTCTCTGTATCAAAATATATTTTTCCAAGCAAAAACTGTGCCTTTATTTACCAGCAAAGTGCTTCCACTCAGGAAAGAGAATGCCCCCGCCCCAGTATTTTATCAGATATACTTCAGAGTAATTTATCCTTCATGACATAAACGAGGTTTTTTTGGATGCAGCTCATTCCCTCACAATAACAAGAGCATTAATATTCAGTCAGCCCAAGTCTCTTTTATAAGA